ACTTTCAAGATATACTGCGGCGTTTACTTCATGCGCATTTGCAACGTAGAAGATGTAACTAATATTGATAAAGCGACGCTAAACATTTTGTTTTGGACATTCTGTGAATTGATATGTAAACACTTTGTGTAGATTAACGTTATGCAGTAATATTAAAAATTGTAGTCAGCAGAACTTGGGAAAGTCACTTACGACAAAGTGCTCCACAATTCCGATTCCCTAGAAAAAGGGACTAGAGCATTGATTCCCAAAGTGGTCTATATCGACATCTATGACAACCTGCAAGGGGTCTACGTCAGCGAAAAAAAAATTTGGGGGTCCATGAAATGAATATGGGGCTCCACGATAGTGTATCTCAACACATACACTGATAGTACCTATTTACTTACATCATACTATCTTATAATATCAAAACATATACATTATTTATAAAGATACCTATGAAGTAAAAAATGTATTATATATGTTTATAAAATTGTGTAAGTTGTAGGATGTTGGTATTCGCTTTGTGGTCGCAATACATTTTGAACTTGTAAAAACCTGAGAGTCGCAGTCTCAGAGCTTCGCTACCTTGCACTGACTTGTTCAATTCATCACTCTATAAATACGAATGTGGGACAAATACGTTTATTCGTTTCCTGAATCTTGAAAAGGAAAGTGCTAAGAAAATATTTTAAAAAATATAAACAGATAGTATATCACACAAATTATAGTGAGTCAGTGTTATTTTGTTTGAGAGTGCTGGAGAAAAATAAGTACATTATTTTTTATTAAATTTTAGTTTTGTACTCGTAGTTAGCAAAGATAGATAAATTACGCCAATCATGCCTTTAGTTATTAGTAGTTAAATATTCAATCATGCAAATTACACGAGTACTCATCAATAGTTTCTTTTTGAAAGTTTTAGCAATCGGTAATATAATTACAATGCAATCTCCGTAATTCGAGCTAATTGTTGCAAGATGTTCGAATTATGGAATGTTTTCGAAAAAATCAGAAAATATTTTTAATATACAGCTGCTGGATTTTCTGTCTTATTTAAATAATTTAATTTTGCCCACAGATGACTGATGCCATGTCCGAATCAAAAAAGAAATGTAGACAGTACAGTGTTGATTGTTTGAAATTTGGCTTTATTCCATCATTGCCGGACAAACAATCGCCTATGTGCCTTTTATGCAACAAAGTTTTGGGCAATGACGCTATGAAACTATCTAAACTGCAAGATCATCTGAGAAGATGCCACCCTGATAAAACAGAGAAAAATACTTTCAAACACTCAAAGATAAAGGGGATAAGAGGTTTTAAAAAGCTGTTTTACACAAACCTGCATCTGATATCATTAAAAGAATTCCCTTAAGCAACAATACTGTTGAAAGACGTATTGATGAAATGAGTTCTGATATTGAAAGCTTCTTATGTCCTTATTTGCAAACGACCCATTTCTCTATACAACTGGACGAGTCAACTTTACCTGATAATGCAGCATTATCATTGGCATATGTTCGTTTTATTATGAATCAAGAAATCTACCAAGAACTGCTCTTCGCAGGAACTTGGATAACCGACACTAAAGGTGAATCAATATTTCATGTTTTGAAGGATTACTTCATTGAAAAAGCAATTCCTTTATCAAATATAATATCAGTAGCTACAGATGGAGCACCTGCCATGGTTGGACGTTATCGTGGATTTATAAGCTATTTAAAACAAAATGTGTCAGGGGTGTTAGCAATACATTGCGTCATCCATCGACAACATTTAGTTGCTAAAAATTTGAGTGTTAGATTGCATGAATCACTTCATTTAGTCATTGATGCAGTAAACCAAATCCGGTGCAACGCGTTGAATACGCGGTTATTTGCGCAGTTGTGTGAAGAAAATGACGAACACCTTCATCAATTACTCCTTCACACTGAAGTACACTGGCTGTCGAAAGGCTTATGTTTGACAAGATTTTTTGCACTTTTTGAGACTATTTTAGAATTTCTGGATACTAAAGATAAAGTTTTAAAAGAAAATTTAATGAAGAGGAAAACAGACATCGCCTATTTAACAGATTTGTTTACAAAATTTAATATGGTTAATTTGCAATTACAAGGCGACAGTTTAAATTTGATTAAAACAAAGTCCATCTTATCAGTGTTTCTTGCCAGAGTTAAAGTAATGAAGAAAAATATTGGACAGGGCGAATTTTCTCAGTTCCCCAATTTGTCACAGACAAGCTGCCAGGAAGACGACGTTTCAACTTACGTTCTAAATTTAAATGGCTTCTATTCAGATTTTGAATCTTTGAGGATATTTTGACTATGGTAATACCACCGTGGATAATTAATCCATATGGTGACATAGAAGAAACGAATGTCATAACACAAGAGGAACTGACTGAACTAAGTACAAACGAAGAACTTAAGGTTCAGTTTAAAAACGGATATCAGCAATTGAGGCTGCAAAACAACATACCCGTTACTTATCCCGTATTATGGAATATAGCGAGGAAATTTTTAGTTTCCTTTCCATCGTCATACCTAGTGGACAGGGGGTTCAGCGCTGTTACAAATCTCCTAACGAAAAAAAGAAACAGACTGGACATCATTAGCCGAGAAGACTTAAGATTAACCATCACAAAATTGACGCCAAATGTTGATAATTTATTATTAAAGCATCAGGTTCATCCTTCTAACTAAAAATATTGACTTATTGCTTATGGTATTTTATAAAATTCGTTAATTTTTTGCCTATTTTTAGATAACTTAAACTTATAAGAAGCGGAATTTAATCAAACTAACAGTGAAATTATTGTAGAACATAAGTTTATGTTATAATTAATAAACGAACTCGCTTATTGTACTATTTTAAGTAAAAAACTTTTTTTATTATTTTTCACTTTTTTATTATTTTATCCCTCTTATTTTTTTTCAATGCAGGCACTTATTCCCAATGCGGGCACTCATTGGTCAGACATCTATTTATTTAATGTTACGTATATTTTACATAACAGATACAAAATTTTATTTTGAGTAGTTTTAATTTAAATTCAATTAATAAATGTAGCTGAAGCCTTGCGAGTCCATCTAGGAGACGCTGAGTGTGGCTGCTCACCGGTGCACATGCCTTTGGTGTTACAGTAGTAAAGGAGTAGGTGGTATCAACAAATGAGGTGGAAGAGACTAGACGGCGCCCTGAAATGGAATAACATATTACCATTTGTCTTTCATCTAAGTTTCCGCAAGGCTACCTCGATTTCTTTGTATCTACCCACGGACTTGGAGTGAGTACCACGGCAGGTAGCTATAGCTGGCCTACGTGGCAGCGTTCGTTGATACCCCGTAAACACGAGTTGTATTATCCTTTCCATCCTTGTTTTCATTCAGGCTGCACCCATATCCAGATGTGATGGGCATATTATGTTTTCACTTCGGTGCTTTCGATACACATCCATTTGAGCCTGATGAACCCAACACGCAGAAACTTACGTCACTTATTGCGGACATACCCAAGATTGCCATTTGTTTTTTATCTATATTTCCGCAAGACTACTTGTTTTCTTTTGGTAGAAAATGTAAAGATTTTGATCTGTTCGGATGCGATGGAAATATTTAAGCTTAGTTAAAACAAATCTAACAACCACGTATGTGAGAATGCTCCTTTATAGTTAAGAAACGTTGGCAGGTGTAAAACATAGTTTTCACTTTTTGATATAATCGTCTAATATATAAATAGATGCCATTGATTACAGTATTTATCGGTCTGTAACTAAATGGTAATATAAATTTACATTTCGCTACACAAAAACGTTTTATAAAGATATACTCGTATCATCTCAACTATCACTAACCAAGGTGCTAAAATGTATGTTTAATTTTTTAATAAAATAATGATGATGTTCTATATCCGGACGAAATATGCCAAAAATTTATGGATTTCCACAACAGATCTTGTGTCTCTATTTAGTGAAGTTACTTAGGTTTCCAAGAGGATTGAGGATACAGCCTGAGCAAAGACAGATCACCAACTTATGCCGATAATGTATACAAAAAGATAGTTGCTGTACAAGACAAAGGAAAGCCCACACTAAAATATGTAAACACGTTCATTGCACGCTGTCAATTGCTTCATGCTAATTCCTCAACTGTTATGGTATGTTTAGCGAGATGTCAAACTATAGGGAGCCTGTTGCAGAACTCTCAGCTCAGTGCCGTAACATACGTCATATAACACGTAGCAGAACAGGTCACGAAACATCAGCTAACTATGACATATGTTGATTGAATAAGAAACAAGTATCAGCATTTATTCATGTGCGCATTGAATGAGGCGGGTGGGGGGAGAAGTTCTAAAACGTGGCGCAAAAAATGTTTGAGTAAGCGTTTGTAACCTCCTAAATTAAGATTCCAGAGTCAAATCATCTATCAGTGTAGGGTATCTCCAAATGGCTGCAAGGCACAAAAAAAAACCTACTATAACAAAAGTTGATTTTGTGAAGTTTTAAAACTTCATCATGGATTCACAAACAGCAGAAACGAATTTTTCAATATATTTGTTTCTTTAAAGAACACCCACGATTTCACTACGTAGAGCTATGAATCGGTAGTCCACCAAGGGCATCGAAAAACTTGAAACTAACTTCAAAAAAACCCTGCCCACAAGCCATAACAACTTGAGTCTCTTGATTTCGCCTTTCAAGAGAACAATTGATTTTAGAAAACGGCAACCTAGCAGAGAACGAAAAATATTGTTTTCGTCGGATAGCGTATCCTTGTATCCACTGTGTAATAGACTAAATATTTGACCTTCTTTGGGTTCGTACCGTTACGCCACTGATATCGGTGCTGTATGAATTGGGAGTGTAACAATTAACGCAGTTTCATTGTTGGAATATGATAATTGGCACGTCCGTAATATACTTAGGCGTTGCGTTGGGCAATGTGTCCATTTATGGTGGCCCAGACAAAAGAACATCGGATATAATTGATACCCACCAAAATAACGCTTCTTACCATACTTTAGTTTACACACTACGTGCAGTAAAGCCACTCGCAGGAAAAAAAATTGATGGTAAGACTTTCTCAAGACGTTAAATTTCTCAGCAAGGCACTTTTTAGTAGTATAAGGCACGATGGGATGTGTGCTCCTGATGCAGCTGCTCTCAATGATGCTGCTCTCGATGCTGCTCTCGATGCTGCTGGTGTACCTGTTATATTTGTACTACTGTTGAAATTCTGTCATCGATTGGATTAAGCTCAATTTGTTTCCAGACATAATGCTATCTGAACTATAATACGAAAATCCATCAAAGCAAATGCATGTGAAATACAGAGCCTAACTACTTGACACACATGCTTTTAACGGACTTGAAGTTTACATTGTGTGATGGAATAATACAGAAAGGTGTTCAAAACAACGTGAAGAAGCCAAAACCTGACTATATATGTTTAATTAAGCACGATTTATCATAAAACTCTACCATTCTGCACTTCCATAGCAAGAACAAGAAAACAAAAACGGGAAGTACGCCTACGATTGAAAAAATAGCAAACGACGCGCAGTGCTCCAAGCGGTGCTTAGGGGTTTTTAAGAACTATTATTTGTTTTCATCCACGATGACAATTGTCTAAAAATATATGCAACTATTTTTCCTTAACAAGTGCTTGGAATTATCGGGGTTAAAAGCTTAATAATAAGACCTCTTCCACTGACACCATGGATGCAAGATATAAATAAATCCCCTCTCGCAACCCAAAAATCTCTACTCATACAAAAATTTTTCTGAAAATTATCAGGAGCCTCTGGAACGTCGAGTATTGATCAATTTTTAATTTTCTTTACCACTAGCTCCGCAGCCACTGAATCTATTTTCAAAACATGTAAAGCTTTTCGTCCTTGACAGTATTAGTAACCTCATGTCAAAGTATCATAATCCGAGCGGTACTTTCCAAGAGCCAATGATTGGGGGACAGATCGATACAGACATTTATACTGAAGGAAATACGTGACATGGTCTTTCGTGATTAAATGTCATATGCAACATCCACGAACCATAATATCTCAAACTTTTCGCGACGACCATTTTTAAAGTAAGATCCGGTTGCACATCGTGCCCTCGCATCCCGTCACGTGACGTCCGTTCTACCTCAGACACTCTTGGCAGGGTTCTTTGTTAGTTTCTTTGTCGCCAAGTCAATCAGTAAGGCCATCGGTTGTGAAGTGTCGTTCGGTTTTTAAAGAATTCCTCCTGCTGAAATTCACCAGCATCTGGTTGAATTAGCGGCGTCGCTCTACTTCACGACAACGCTCGGCCTCATGTTGCTGCAAGAGCACAGACGCAACTGAACAAGTTTGGTTGGGAATTATTGGATCATCTACCATACGACTCTGACTTAGCGTCATCAGACTTCTACCTTGTCCCAAAACTCAAGGAATTTCTTGCTGGAGAGCGCTTGGAAAATGACATGTTGAAAGAAACAGTTACTAACTGGGTTAGTAGTCAGACGGCATCTTTCTTTGATGACGGGATTCACAATATGTTGGCACGGCCGGATAAATGTTTAAATGTTAATGGTGACTATGTTAAGAAATGAAAACAATGTTAATATTTTATTTTATGTTAAAATTTACATTCATAAGCAAAGTTTCCCTGATTCCATTACAAGGCGGTTTTCACTTAAAAATGACCCTCGTACAATGCTTCTGTGGTGTGGGAAAGAAAATGTACGTTCGGTCAATTACCCTGATTTGAACTGTCTCCAGGGCTGACGGATGAACTTCAGAAGAAACTTTCTTGAGTGACCCTACTGCTAGTACTCCGTATACTTCTACCATACCGTGTTTTTCGCTGAAGAACAATGGAAAATTTCGCTTAGGTTTTTTATTTTGGCAAGACCCCTACGATGCTAGGGTGCAACACGATGTGCGTACATTGGAATGACAGCTGGTTTGTCACCTACGAAGAATTTCGAATGAAAAATTGCCCATTGCGATGATCGATATGCGGGTCGAGAAAAAAAAAGTTGACACCTTACGGCGACTGGTAGCACATACGTAATTCGCGTTTAGTTACGATTCACACCACAATTCGGTACTTCACTTACAATACGCTATAGAATCTTATCAATTCTGAATCTGAATAAGAAAGTAATATAGCCACATACAATTAAGCGCATGAGTAATAAATGAAAACATGATACATAAACTAAGAACAGAAAGTACTTAAGATAAACCAAACAACCTACGACTTCAAACGGCTGAGCACAGTAGTCACGCTTAGATGGGGTTTCTATCTCCTAAAATACAAAAGCCGGATTGGGTGCTCTATTCGCCGGACATTTGGCGCTCGAAACCGGACATCAATAGCCAAACACAAGGGCGGATCTAGCTTTTGAGTCAGGGGAGGGGCGGGTCACTTATTAACTGTTGCGGGTTCAAGACGCAAAAGCATACCAAATGCCAGTCAGACCGAATGCATAAAAATTTGGGCGTACATATCCAGAGCTTAAGCCGGACTGATGGCTACGCTAAGATTATACTCAAAAACCAAAGAAACATCAAAATTAGCTCATAATTTTGGGTCCTAAAATTTCTCAAAGAAGTAGAGCCATTCGCAAAAAATTGTCTCATATGTCTTAAAAGTGCTTTCTAAAACTACAATTTCTGATTTATGAACCTACACTACACTACATTGACTACATCCAAACTGATTACGAATTTGTAGTTTCTTGACACCACGAAGATAAAAAAACTAGAGAAATGCTCCAGCAATGATGAGAAACTTGTTTTCTTGTTGCTTACAACGCTACCACCAGTACTATGCTGTTTATTGCAACGATATATCATCTTATTATCTTTTCGAACATCAAAAGCGACGCTGAGGAGGTTTACATCACATGGTCACAAAAAACTCCAGCAAACCCCGATAATAATTTGGGAGATCCTTGGACGGACAGACATAGCTACCTGAGTGATATTCATTGGGAGTCTGTTACTTGGAACTCGAAAAATTCAGGATAATTGCACCAGTTTCCCCTACATCATGAGGACACAAATACACTTCTTTTTTAGAAATCGGTATAAGTCGAAGTCTAAGATATTTCAAACGACGAACATCTTGGAAGTACTGCATTAAACATAACGTGCTGTGGTATTTACATATGACCTTGATCATCCTTTAAAAATATAGTATTTTAGAATCTAGACGGGTTTCAGCGCTCTCTCTGAATAATTAATGATTGTTGTACACACCCATAATCAAGGAAGACTACACGCTACATTTAACAATAGCAAGATATGTTCGGTATGTTTGCAGATATTTTTAAAAACTATATATAAAATATACATAACATATAACATAGGTACTTAGTGTTACCTTCAATACACCTACCTTTTGTAGGTATACAAAGAGTCCTAGAGTATGCGGTCTCATGTATAGAGAACAGAAAAAAAGAACTCAACGGTATAGAAATTGCTTACGAATGTCAGCGGGTTATTGTCGGCCACAGGGGATTCAAGCAGCATGATTAAGAAAATAAACGAGTTGTAAGCCTTCTTCCACGAATGCAAGATTTTCATCTTCTCTATATTCAGTCATACCGTGTGTAGGCTTCTCCAATATAATATATATATATATATATATATATATATATATATTATATTTATTATTTTATTTCATATTACTTGTAACTTTCATTTTGGAAGTATTATGCTACGATAACCAGAATATATATTTTTTATATACTCTACCAAAAGTCAGGAGCTTTCTAGAAAGTTTATCTCACCTTAAAATGATCTTGAAAGTGAGGGTCGTGTTCACTAGGAGATATATACTTGAATTTGTTCGCAACTTTCCTTGAAAATTAAAAGTAGGTGTTTACTATTAAAAGTTAATTTGGCCTCCAAATTACCTTGGCGGTCATAGTCAAGATCATCAACAAACTTGTCCTTTATATTTCTGGTGTAAAAAATTGGGGTTTCCATTTAAGAAGACTGTCTTCACATGCAAAAGCGGTCATAGGTTACGTTCAAGGACACATTAGGTGGATCTATTGAAACCCTACAACTTTACTACTTAAGATTTTTCGTTTTGAAGCGCATTTTTGAGATATTCTGTCACCCTAAAATTTTCATGAAGATCATCAACGAGGTTACAGGCAAAGACGTACTTCCACGTAAAATCTCCCGCTCTTTACACCTCCGCTGACAAAAATAGGAGTTTGATTTAAGAAAACTAGTTTGACCTTCAAATGATCTTGGAGGTTATAGTCAAAGTCACTATCATTATCACCAATAGATGAATGAAAACCTGCAGCTCTGGTCTACACTACATAATTACATCTGCAATAATATCACAGTTTTTATAGTACATAACTGCTGTGCTCAGCATGGATTTGTTGCTCAATATATAATCCTATTTCACGAGTATCCATCACGCTTTGACGTCTACTGAGGTGATCAGCTGATCAGCAAGTGACATTTTTATGTTAGTCTGCAACGTTGGCAATAATGAATCGGGTATAAGTCTAGTAAAACTCATTTGTGACATGTTGTTTTTTGTATGCAAATGAACTTTTCTAAATTAAGGAGCTGTTAGCAAGTACAAAACGAATCTGTAGCGCACAAAAAAACAAAACAAAATACGGCTCTGACTACCTGGAGTTGACGAATCCGTCAGAATTATGTGTCCTGTGCCTATATGGGGACTTTTGAGATATTACTAGATAATCAGCTGTTATTCAACCGTGATGGATACTCATGAAATAGGGTATAGAAACACAACTTTACCATAACCCAAGTTTCTGCTGTAATCCTTTTAGGTTGAATGACAACCATTATTTTTCTTCTTCAAGACAAACAATGCATGAATATTCGTTGCAAAGGTATTATTAACTTTTCAGGCAGATAGTGTTCAACTGGTACAAATTCTGAGTAAAGCATTCGCCTTGTCCATATTTCATTTCTGAGATTTGCCAAATTAATGTAGGTAATACCTGCGGATAACAGCAAAATGTTCTAATAAACTAAAGAAAATGTGGAGGAGGCCATGACTAGATATAGCCACAAGCCATGTTGGGTAAAAAATATAGTCCCCTATTAAAAATCAATCAATTCTGCTTCTCTCCGATACAGATAGAAAATAAGCATTAGTGTAATTGTGTTTAAATAAATAAATTTAAAGCAGATGAGTTCAAATCTTCACCTTAA